CTGGATTTCACTACTAACCACCATCTATCTTTGCTTGTAATATTTGTGACCTAAGGTCATATAGAAGCAATCCATCCAAGATGTATATATGCCATTAAGAGACTGATCAATTACAATCTTAAACGTCAGTGGGGAAATTCAAAGGACCAATACAAAAATGAGTTATTGAATACAATTATTTTAAAAGTTTATGTATAATTCCTACATAAACAACGCACCTAGAATTCTAAAAGACACTTTAAATAACGAATATAACTGGATTAAGCACATAAATTATAACTAAGATTACATCATGACTGAAATTCGTTGTTGAACGTACGATGTTTGCTTGTTTGGTTTTTAATATAAAACTATGTGTTATCAAATAGTTTATCTGAAACAGTATTTTTCGGATCGATAATATTTTATGTCAGAAACAATGTTGATTGTGAATATTATTGTTAAAATAAATAATGAATAAAATAATGCTGAATTGAATTTACTATTATTAAAAGTATGTAGGTCATATGGTTATGGACTAGTAGTTACAAGGTTTCGCCAAGTTTTTTTGAAATTTTGATGTTATATCATAGTTTTGTGAATAAAATGTCTCTTGACTAAAAATATTAGGTATTATTGAAAGTCTAAAATTACTGGACAACTACTTTGTTCTAGTATGAGATTCATCAGTAGTTAGATGGTGGTTGGAGGTAGTCGACAGGAAATCCTGGACCCGGGTTTCATGCTACTTGGCACTCGTCAGCAAGGTGTACCTGTAATCTTGAGGGAACAGGTGCTCCCTGGCGGATTTGATCTCGTGTCACTGGAACATGATCGATAGCATTCGATCTGCACTAATAAGGATTAGACACGCATGACATTGATCGCCACCCAGTGATCAATCAATTGTGATTACATCTCAGTCCTACAGGAGGTCGGTCGCGGCTCGGATAGCTCAGTGGTAACGTCTCTGACTGTGAAGCTGGGTGTCACGAGACCGAATTTGTCAGGGAGCACCAGATCCCTCAAGGTTGCAGGCACACCTTGTTGACGAGTGTCAAGTAGCACGAAACCCGGGTCCAGGGTTTCCTGTCGAATACCTCCAACCATCATCTAATCTCAATATATAGTGCCCGCAGTGTCGAGTCACCTAGACTGGTGGCCACATTGCAACATGATCGATAGCATTCGATCTGTACTAAAAAGGACTAGACACGCATGACATTGATCGCCACCCAGTGATCAATTAATTGTGATTAATCAGTAGTGTACATCTGTAGCCTCTCAACCAGGAATCGAACCTAGGACTTTTGATCTTTCTTGTAAACACTAATTCATCACTAAATGGTGTACATATTTAATTTTAATCAATCCATTGTGATGTCTGAATATTTTCCATTGTCTTTGGTGGGTACGTTCCTCATACCGGAAATGACTGAACTCTATTGGTCCCTGCTTCTTACTATAAATCTGGAAATTTCTTCTCAAAACTAGTTATCAGTGAGCACATGATAATTATTAGTATAGGAATTGTAAAGATTGTTGAATGTTATTGACATCACAAACAATGGCCACAACTTCTATACTGATAAAAATAGTAGTGTAGAATAAATCCTAATATGTTTTTTTTTTAAATTTATACTAAAGATATAAACTTTTATACAGTTCATTTTTACACAAGCGAATTACTATCTGGACTCAGTTGTTAAGTGGATAACACGTTGGAGTTTGAAGTGTTTGGCACTGGGCTTGAGTCCCGGAACGATGTGGATACATCCAGCTGACGAGTAACATAATGAAAACGTGTCCTTTTTTTAATCAAATTCGTAACGAACGTAATTATGTATTCTTCCTTGTCATAGAAAATGCTGATAAACGTTCCTAAAATACCGGTCTCATTGCTATCATTTAACTCATAACCAGATCTTTTGAATATATTTCCTAATTTACTAGATAATACGTCTCCAACATTTGGTTTAATTTATCATTTAACATTCTTTTAAATAAAAATCGGTTTTTATGAAGTTTTGAGTTGAATAAGGATATGTAGATTTCACTGCTAACCATGTTCCATCTACACTACGTGTAAACTTATGCCATAGTGACTATATGAAGGCAATCCTCATAGGATTTACGTGTTCCAACCGAGACCAATCAAATTTCAGTCGAAATATCAGCGACTGGACAATTCAAAACATCACAAATTAAAATAATATCAACGTTAAGTTAATTAGTAATTTCCTAATAAATACACTGCAGTAAGCGGTTACTATTTGGATCCTGTTCTCAGCATAGGACTTCTCTATTATTCTGAAATATAGTTTTCCGAAACCCACTTCTGTGACTGAACGCCAAGTTCGTTAACTATTTAGTCATAATCTCAACTATGTAACACTTATTACAATTGTACCCCAATCTATAATGGACATTTGGGATTCAATGTTTTGTAACAACTCTAAATAAGTGGACCACTGAAAATTATTGAAAAAATGAAAATATTTCTCAGAAATCCAACCAAGAATTAACAAATCATACTAGGCTCAAGGATTCTTGTCATAGGTGTCCTCGAAGCGTTGCCCTTGGTCCGTGGAAAGACCAAGTCATAAATGTTGAGGTTAAGCATAGGACATTTGACAAAGATGGCAAATCAGTTGATAAGGTTGTAAATCTTCAATAATTGTAGCAGTCTAAATATATTTTATATATGCCTAACTGATGCCTACCACGATATTACATAAGTAGTTTGGAAAGAAGCTAGGGGCAGCCGAACCAAGACGTGACGTTAGTCCATGAAGTCTTTAACTGTTATTCTAAACCATATGGATAAAACAGACATTGTGGAAATTATCAAACTGCATCGCGAAGAAAGCGCTAACTTAGAATCCTGAAGGGAAGAGGTAAAGTGGAATACCAGGGAACATATTGCGCCTGGAATTGGAAGCAGGCATCAAAAAGATGAATAGCAACTGGAGACAACTTGAAAGCATTACCCAGGGCAGAGCTAGATGATGACCGCCAGTGGGCAGCCTATGCTCCTCCATGAGGAGTAACAGGCATAAGTAAATAAGTAAGTAATTATACTAGACTCAATTACTTTTGTTTAAGCAAAAACCTAATCAATAATTGTCAAGACCTTTTTCATTATGACTGAAGTTATATTGAAAAAAAGAACATAATAAGCAAAACAAATCTATCGGAAAATAATCGATATTCCCATGTAATTTGGATTTTTTAGAAAAACTGTTCATATCATAGTTACACTACCTTAGAGATTAAAAAATACCAAAGTATACCGCTTAAAAACGACAGTCAGCAAAGATAAATATGTTTCATGTGGTATAAAATCACTAATGACATTTACAAAATTATTTATTTCATAAAATAAAACCTATACATATTTGTTTTAAGTTGTGGCCTTCTGTTCTTTTAGTATGTAACGCAATGAAACTTCCAATTAGATAACAGTGGCTTATCGACCGGACCAATGACGCATAAATCGGTACGAGCAATGCAGAGTCCTTATCGGTCCTTTTTCCTCCTAGCCCTGGCCGTTAAGTCCAGAACACCAATCTCAGTCTCTGCGACATGAATTATGTATTCCAAGTATACTGGGTTTATATACAAACCAAACAGACCACATAGCACCATAAAATAGAAAATAACATATGTACAAGACTTAGCGGCTGTGAATATGGGAGGTTGTAATTAATAGACTGGGCATAACTCAATAATTGTAAATCGTATAATGATAGTTTATAGGTCAAAGTAAGGCTTGTAATAAGAGGAGTATAGGTAAACATAATCTAGCTACTGAATACTTATACATTAAGAATATACGTATAATATTTGTCCATAAATACTTCTCTAAAGTTACCATTCATAATGGTCGCCAGGATATAAAAAAATTAAAGAATTATCCTTATGTGATTCATCACAAAATAATTTTGTTTTATAATTTTTAAGGATAAACGTTTAGTAGTTATTTCATGTAGTCAGTTTAACTGTTAAGTGACTCCATTAAATAAACGTTATATAATAAATAGTAATCGATTTGTACCGAAAAAGTTCAACTTAATCTATGTACAAATTAATAAAATACATGATAGGAATCTGAAAATACAATACAATACAACCCTACAACATTCAATGTTTGGATACGTTCAGTAAAATACTTGAATAATACAATACAATAGTTGAAATCAAGAGTCAGTTTAAGCTAGATCACCATTGAAAACTTAGAAGCACTAGACGGCCGTTTCGTCCTAGTATGGAGCTTCCTAGCGATGCAGATCCACGATCCTACACGCGGGACTCAAACCCAGGACCTTCAGTCTCGTGCGTGAACACATAACCTGTAAACCACTGAGTTGGCATTTAACAGTGTTACTGTCCAATTTCAATCAATCGATGATCATACGCAACCTTTCATCTATTGTTTGAGAAGGATTAATATCTCATACCCGACACAGATTGGACTCAAATGGTCACGGCTTCTCACTAGAACATCAGGCGTTACATCTTAAAGCTAGTCACTAGTGAGCACATGATTATCATCGACTACTGAGGAGTTCCATACTGGGATCAAAAACAGTCGTCCAATACTTCCAGGCATTCAAATAGTAGTCTAGTTTAGATCAACTCCTAATTACAATTGTAAAAATACTACACTCTCCATAAATTCCCCATACTGAACAATAGTTATTACTTCTGGACGTTGAAAATGCATCACTTTTTTTCTAAAAGACTAGATTTTGGGAATTTCTGTTTGTTGTTTTGTTCTTTTAGTTGAGATGAACTACATTAATGAATTAGTTACTATTATCTTAATTACATTGAATTTGTAACATAAACTTGTTCTCATTTCCGACAACCAATAATTAAATCAATATTTTGTAAGGGATATCAATAAGAGAGATGTAACTAGTCTTTACAACAACAACAACAAAAGAAAAACAAAAAAAGAACATAGTAGCCACCGCAACATCTTAAACAAAACAAAAAAAAGATTTTATATAACTTACTCATTATGAGCTTGTATAGCGTTCTTATTAAGTTTATTCACCATGATTAGTATTAAAATTAAAAGTCAAAATGACCATTTTTATTATTTTTGCGGACATTTACATTTTTTTTCAAAGAATGAATACGGACATATCAAGAGGCAACAAACACATTAAGACATATATTATATAATCAATCAATTCTCATGATTTTTATTAAAATAATCCCCCAATCATTTCCTCTTATGAATATATATATATATATATTGGGGGCTAGTGACATCTAATCATGATTTCAAAGGATCCTTTGTGATCCGATTATTATTAAAACCATGTATTACGGAATAGATGTTTCATTATAGTTTGGTTCTTCTTAGAAGTACCCATCTACGATTAGACCCGGGGGGGGGTTGAACTCACGAAATTCAGGCCTCTTAATGAGTGTTGAACATTCAAACCAATGAACAGGCACCCAATGATTTCAATGTTGCTTAACTGTTTTCTGATGCCGTTAGTATATAACTATCCCACACTTGACATAGATAAATTCCACTGGTCACAGCATTGCATTTGAACTATTGAAATTACCACTAAAAACTAGCCACTTATGAGTCACTAAAGTACAAATTATAAAATTTAACAATCTCCATAAACCCCCATAGTTGTAATAGCTCTTACTGACAGAATTCTGTTGCCGCTTAAAATGTACGTTTCACAGAATGATCGTTGAGCGGGTTCCATGTTATTATTTTATTTATTTATATTTATTTAAACACATAAATATTAGTACAAGGAGGCAGCAAATGGATATGCGCCACATAAATCATTCGATTTGTGTGAGGGCTGGGATACTGCCCAGGTGCCCAAACCAAAGCAGGTGGTTTTTTTAAGGGAACCACACCTGGAGCCTTCGACCTAAAGGTCTGATCCACAAGGCAGTGTGGCAACGTCAGGAGATGCAGTCACATGGCAGCCGGTAACCAACAATAGGTTCATACTCCATTTTTTCCCTCGGAATATTGGAGCTCATGTACACCATTAGCTTGAAATCAGGGTTTCCCAACTCCCCTATGTGGATCCTCCGTGTCCATCAACCCAGTTAAAGCACCGGACATTTGCTTTTCGTCCACTCAATTTTTTAAACAACACCCTCACCTCAACAAGGCAGTGAGTAGGACTTCCATGGCAGTGGTTGTATGAACGTGGCCATGTGAGAGCATTTCGAGAGGGAGAGTTGACTCTTTCCACTCTCGGCCGTACCAGGGCATTTGTGGGCTCCAATTTGTTATACAAAATATTAACCAGAAATACATAGAACGTAAAATACCAACAGTGATAAAAATGATTGTTTAAGACAGAGCACCTATACAATGATCGGTTTAATTACCATGACCAAGATTTTAATAATTCTAAACCTTAATCATTTAAAAGCTTGTAATGTAAATTTCTATTAAATCTTTTAAGATCTTCATTCCTGAATTTAATCACCAACCAACTACTACTCTATTTTAAACCAAGAACATCAATGAAAGCTTCAGTTAACTAATTATTTTTAGGAAAAAGAATTGAAATTTTATAAGGAAATTTAAAAATTGATATGGATTAAGAACAGGATTCTCGTATATATTTCGACTTTCCACTCGTAAAATTAAAGATTCTTGGAAAAATTTGAACCTGTGCCTCTGTAAACCTTATTTAAGACACATTCGAAAGTTCATTACAAATAACTATATTCATAGCTCTTGTCTAATGGTTACAAATGTCTCATGAATGGTACAATCTAATTTACTGGGTTTCTAAATTAAAGTATTGTAGTGAACACTAACACCAAATGTATTTGAATGCAAAATTACAGAACATCTTGGATAAAATCTGAGAACCATACAACAAATACTTCATTTGTAAAATTTCATTCGATTGTCTTAGACTTGATTTTTCTTTCGTTTCCACACCAATCACTCTCTGTTCTTGTTCTCCTCTTTTCTATTTTCCTAAACTTCAACCTCCAGGTATATCACTTTCGATTGATGATGCATACTAATTATATTTATCGACATCAGTAGCGCTCACCACAGTATTACCTACCAAATCAACAAGATAGGAATTATAGATTAAATCAAATCGATCTAACCATGATTACACATAAAAAACAATATTTTTTTGAAAAGGAATGTTAAGTTACGTATTTCACGGCTTAAATTCATTTGAAGTATATTACACAGAAACGACTCAGAGTTGTAATTTTCACCTCATCAATATGTACTAAAGTCTTGATCAGTAATGAGGTTTCAACAAGACATATCAGTTCTTTCTGCTTTTTTTAAAATTTTCATTTAAATTAAATACTGAACTAAATTAGATAGCCTGTATATACATCTTATCTTCCACGACGTACAAATGGAATGATCTCTGAGAATTCATACCTTCTAACTCGGTATGTGTTGGAAATAATGATTTAGCGAAGAACTATTTTCATTTTAGGAAGATTGTATTTGTAATTTTTGTGCTTTTGTTAGTCTCCATAGGAACTGAGATGAAAGCCCACTTAAGAGAGGCGTGCTAATTAATAACTTATCCAGATGCTAATGTATACAATTCTTTAGCTTGGTATAATTCAATTAAGAAACAAACCTGACAGAATGTTAGAAAGATAAATTTTATATATTTAGTATTTAAAGAATTAATATCCATTCATAATAAAACGATAAAAATTATTGAACCAGATATTTGCATCAATCGAGTGGAAAGTTAGGCACAAAATCATTATGCTCCATGTTCAAATTCTATTCTGGAAACTATACATACTTGAAGTGATTGATCGCTGTCATAACTGTAATTCCCATTAAATTAGCTTACTTGCACATTTTCTCTCAGAGTACTCATTTCTATAAGCTTACTTAGTAAAATCGATATTTTCCAAGCTAGTTGAAATTAATTTTACTTTGTGGTTGTGGAGACTGTTGAATTTTATTGAAGTCATGAACCGGTCAATGTTAGACCACCACTGAAAACCTGGAAATATTGGACGGCCATTTCGTCCTAGAGAAGCAGTGTGAGGCAGTTACCCACTGAAGAAAATAAAATATGGTCGCGCAAAATCGTGGATTGGTTGAAGTTATACATCAGCACTGTTGGATGCCGTAACAGTTGTCTAGAGGTTAAACGTTCACGTCTCTTATTGATATATGTGCATACTATGTGTATTGCCTCTGTATTGCCTTAAGTTACAAGCATTATAAGGAAAGATGGATGGTGGGTTGTAGTGGAATACAGGACGCACATTTCGCTCTATTTCGGACTCACCAGCTGGATGTACCTTAATTCGAGTTAATGTTGACTCCGGGAATCGAAACCAGTCAGCTTCTAACGCCATCACATTATCCACTTAGCTACTTGTATACAACACTAGATTAAAATAAATTCTTTTTTGATTAAGATCATGAACCCATTGATGTTAGACTACCGTTGGAAACCTGGAAGCACTAGACGACCGTTTCGTCCTATTGTGGGACTCCTCAGCAGTGTGCATCCACGATCCCCCTCACGGGATTCAAACCCAGGACCTATCGGCCTCGTGCGCTAACGCTTAACCTACTAGACCATTGAGCCGGCTTTCAAAGGTGTTAATGTCTAACTTCAACTAATCCACGAAATTGAGCGACACACCCACCATTGTCGTCAATGAGTTGCTATCTTACAACTGACCCGGTTGAACTCCACTGGTCACTGCTTCTCACTAGAACTCCAGGATATACCTCTTGAAGCCAGTCACTAATGAGCATATGTTGATTAGTATCAGAAGGGGTTTTGTGGAGATTGTAGTAATTTCAACAGTTTAGTCAATTGAAGCTAGACCACCATGGAAAACCTGGAAGCACTGGACGGCCATTTCGTCCAATAGATTATTATAAATATCAAGCTTATTGTCTTATTACGCTTAATAGTCAACTATTTTCTCTTAAACATTCCATTTACTTTAAGTTTACACTTGTCGGTTACCACTAATAGTCACGTAAAAAATCAAGTTTTTTTTAGTTTGGTGTAATAAATGTATACTATGTAACTGAATGAATTACATTCCTACTCAAACTCGTTCAATTAATTCATATAAAAATAGCATGATCTCATTATCTGATTTATTCTACATTGTTTTTCTTAATTAATAAGGTTAATGAGATGCTATCATTATGGATCTTCTTATATTGACTTTATTTGATTAATCTTCAGGTAGTAATTACTAACTCTTGCTATTTTATATCTATTAAGATTTCATCGACTTATTTTCTATGTGAAATGAATATTCATTTATTCTATACTAAAACAAAATAGTCTTCGGTTGATTTTGATGGTTTCTATAACCTTATACTGTTTATTTGCACTGATTATTTCATTTCAAATTATAATTCTTTTATGTACTAACCGAATGATTTGTTTAAGTAATCTTCATCTTCAGAATGGGTTCCGTGGAGATTTTTAGAAATTCCACAGGTTGAAATCATGAGTCAATTGAAGCTAGACCACCATGGAAAACCTGGAAGCATTAGATGACCGTTTCTTTCTAGTATGGGACTCCTCAGCAGTGCGCAGCCACGATCCCGCAGAACTCGAACCCAGGACCTACTGGTTTCGCGCGCGAGCACTTAACCATTAGACCACTGAACCAGCATCCAACGGTGTTAATGTCTAACTTCAACCAATCTTCATCTATAAACTTATTATGCCATATTAATTTCTTGTATTATATATGACATAATTTACTTGTAATTAGCTTAAAAACAGTGTCGATATCATGTAGAAAACTTCAAATTGAGTTTTTTTTCTAGGAAATGTACCATTTAATAGTTGTGTAGGGTCAGCGAAATGTCACTAAGCCCTAGCCAAATCATCCAGAAGTCGGGTCACTGGATATCGAACAGATTATCGATCCCCGTCAAGGTCAAGGACGACCAACGCGCATCAGTTAATCGTACGCCATGGGTTGACCCATGTGGCAGTGGTCTCACCTTCGCTTGTATATATTTTAACTAATATTTTTCTGTAACAACGCCGTTTGTGTTGTACAGTC